ATAGTAACTCAGAGAGTGCTTCTTGTCGCCCCGTCACAGCCACAAGGACGACTACAGCCACAAAAGTGGCTGTTACATTACAACAGCTTCGGCAAGCAGGCTTGCAGACCATGTGAAGGATTTCAGTGGAGGGTCCATACTTGAAGGTGACAGACACTGCTCGCTGTTGTACAAATATTGTGGAAATTGAGCTGCTTGACAAGAACTGTGCTCAGATCCGCGGTGGTCAAGGTACCACGAAGAAGTGGCGAATGCACTATCATCATTTCGGGTGGGGCTTGAGGGATTACTGTTGGAGTCATTAGTGCATTAGTGTGGAGCCTTATACATCTCGGGGTTGAGGCTTAAAAAGCCAGGACAACACGAGATGACGTGACGGAGTGGGACGGGCTGGGCATGACGGAGAAGAGCACACATCACCATGGCAGTGGTGATCAAAGTCTTGCAAAAAGCTGAACGAGGAAGTGGCAAGGTATAACGCGGTACATTAGCGCAAAAAGGCTAAACAACCCGGAACTCGACCTTATATGTGGGAAAAAAGCAGGCCAAAGACCTCCACAGCAGGACAAGATATCCAAACCCGAAACAACACGCCAAACCAGAAACCACGCGCATTCTAATGCAAACCATGTAAGAGCTCATACTGAAAGTGAGACCTTCTGAGCCCCTCGAGTTGAAGACTCCGGGCCTCAATGATGCCACAGGCCAGACGATCCTTGACCTCCATGCCAAGGCCAGGACTCTGACTCCGGAAAAAGCAGTCTTAAAGGTACTAGCACGATTGCTTTGGTTTCTTGCTCACCCGAATAAAAAAATATACCCCGAAGCCCTGTCCTAATCCCCTATGATACGCTACAGTAGGAGGTTGGAGTCTTGTCCGACAAATCCTTTAAGGAACCTCGGATGAGCTGGGCGGCACTGGAGAGCGGGTTAAAGAACTCCAGCTTGCCGTAGATGGTTCGCCCAAGTGGGGAAATAGCATCCGAAATCTTCACGCAGGGCGTGTTCCCCACGGTTTCCTTGGCGATAAGGGATCTGGCAGTTGGGCTTCACCGTTGGTATACAAGGCTTCAATAGAGCCTGTTGCACCTGGTTCATGTGCAGCGCCGGCAGTGCAGCCATGAGATCGTAGCCTGTAGCCGTAGCCTATAACTGTCATGCAAACAGCCTCGTGAGGGCCAGGGTTTTTCGAGCGCTTTCTCCCCAGGTTTTTACCCCCCTCAGGCCCCGGGAGTCCCATCTGAAGCCTCCTGCAGGAAGCATCGCAGGCTCAGTTCTATAAACTGCGCAGCCTTTCATGGCGGTCTACCAGGTTTCGGGGAGCGTGTCTTGCAAATCGCCGGCACTACCAGAGAGAGGAGGCACATGAATGCCAACTAGAACCGACATGAGCTAAATTAGTCTCCGAACCGAAGTGCTGAACACAACAGCAGCCAATTGCATCAAGCGTCTGTAATGTTGTCATACAGACGTCCTGGCAGGCTCACAGAACTGGACCACCCACCGAAGCCGTTCGAGCACTGAGCTCGTCCAGACCCCGAAATGTGCGGAAACAACCCATCTTTGATCGACATATGGCCTGGCTCCGAGCGTCACGGCTACACCGAAAACAACGTCCTGGAACCAAACACCTGCAACTACAGGTCGTTGCTTTCATTGCTCTGCCACCCAAGAATAAGCATCCACCAGAAAGACGACGGAAGGGCAAGCAATCTTGAGCCCTACAGCATGGGCGGAAGGATTTTTTTCCTTAGTCTGGCGGTCCCCGGTCCCATTTGCTAAGTTTGGCTCTTCTTTTTTGCTTGCGTATACTGCAAATTCCAGCAATTGCTACTGTTTTGCGTTAAGCTATTGCGGAATTGTGGTATTTTGCCACAAGTTATCGTGGGATTCCAATTTCGAGGCTCCTGGCTTGCGTCAAGCTATTGGGGAATTGCAATTAGCAGGGTTGCCCCAAGCTATTGGGGGAGTGCAATTTCGAGTCTCCTGTCTTGTGTCAAGCTATTGGGGAACTACAATGTGCAGGATTTTGCGCTGTGTCAAGCTCTTGGGCAATTCCAAATTGCAGGGTATTGTTGTGCCCCAAGCTATTGGGAGATTCCAATTTCGAGGCTCCTGTCCTGTGTCAAGCTATTGGTGAACCATAGCTTGCAGGGTCTTGCTTTGCTTCATTTTTTGGGGGAATTACAATTTTCAGGGTTTTGGGGAATTCCAACTTGTAAAGTCCTCTTTTGCCCCAAGCTGTTGGGGGACTGCAATTTCGAGGCTCCTGTCTTGCGTCAGGCTATGGGGAATTACAATTTGCAGGTTTTGCGCTGAGATATTGCCGCAAGCTATTGGGGGAGTGCAATTTCGAGGCTTCTGTTTTGTGTCTACCTATTGAGAAATTACCACTTGCAGGGTTTTGCTTTGCGTCAAGCCATTGGGAATCACAAGGTGCAGGGTCTGCTCTGCGTCAAGCTACTGGGTACTTACACTTGATCGTACGTCTTAAACACGCCTTTGCATGTGGCGATTCCGGCTCATCATATATGATCAACACCCCCCCTATGGCGCTTCCCGTTCATCGTGTTCGTGTTGTTGTTGTTGTTGTTGCTGTTGTTGTTGGTGGTGGTGGTGGTGGTGGCGGTGGTGGTCGTCGTCGT